CAGCTTGCAGAAAGGGGGTGGGTGCAGGAGAGCAAATGGGGAATTCAGTTTTGGATAAAACAGAGCTAAGGAGGGGATGGTCTGCCTTGAAACTGGAAATATTACCGGAATTATCTTGTACGTCAAAGTCGCTCTCTCCAGTCACTTAACAATCGCTCAAAGAAATGATATAAAATATCACTTTTTTACATAGCCGAAATAATAGAGTGTTTGTCAGCCAATTTCTGGATGACTGAGCCCCTTTAACTCCCTGAAACTAGATGCCCTTCTTTCTCCTCTCAACCTCCCGAGAAAATGTTGACAAAACAGGCAATTTTCTGTAATTTCTCCGCAACCTTCTGTCATCGCAGGGAGGGACCTGCACCCCACTCATTTCAGATAACACCGGCAAGTAACCTTTGACATTTTTCCTCTCTCCGCCTTGGAAGGCTCCTGCAAGTGTAACAGTTGTGCCTTTCAGGCCCTTCGAATACTCGGCCGCAATTTAGGCTTCGCCGTGCTGAAGGCCGCCTTTGTTCCCTCCGCTGACTAAGAACCTCTTATAAAAGGGATAAGAAATGCTGTTAATAGCTCGAGAGTGGGCTAATCAGTGAGTGCTATTACCCCTCCAATATTAGGAGGGATGACAGAGTTATCAATAACCCAGCCCCCAGGTGAGGTACACCAGCCGATAATGTGAACTCTGCCCTGATCTCTGCTTGGCTGAGCGCTCATTTAAAAAGAAGCACCACTGTCTGTTTCCCTCTCCCCCTTTCTTCATAGCTTGCCAAGTACATACATCAGCCACAAAGCTTTCGTTGTGTGGGTGTGTGGTGTTTTCTCTTTCTTTCCCCCTCGTTCTATCTTAAAATACAGTGATTTGGCAGCTTTAAACAGATTCCGTTTTTTAAAAAACAATGAACCATGCATTCTCCATGCAAAAGCACATCAAAACGGCCTGTTTGTTTGTTTGCTTCTTAGGGTAACTTTATTTAAAAAGCTGGGTTTGCATCCAGTGTTAGTCATCCTCAAAGTAGACCCATTGGAAATGAATGGACATGACCAAAGGCGGCCCATTAATTTCAATAGCTCTGTTGGGGTTGCTGTATCCAACTAAGTTCTACTCAGAATAGACCCACCAAGAATTAATGGACCAAAATCAGACATCTCCACTGCTTTAAATGGGTCTGCTCCGATTATAACTCAGTCGGATAGCAATGCATGGCCGTTGTGCTATATTCCCAGGGCAGTTAATAACAATAATAAAATAAATAACATGGTAATATGACAAATATAGTGAGCTAAAAGTAGTACAGCTATAAAAACAGCTTAGGGAAATTAAAATGGTATTTGCCTGGTGTTGAAAGGAGAATTCTACCATTCTATGATTCTAAAATTCACTGTGGATAGCATTCCACAACCAGGGTACCACCACTGAAAAGGCCCTATTTTTCAGATGATGGAGGCTCCTACAGCAGGCCCTTCACTGAAGATCTTCATTTTCGGGTAGATAAATGATGGATACAAGTGGTCCTTCATGTGTGGATATGAACTTCTTGTAGCCATTTTGATGTTAGAATAGAGCAGTGTCATTCAACTAATTTAGATCCATTAATTTCAATGGGTCTGATGGAGTTGTATCCAACAAAGTTCTACTCAGAGTAGACCTTATTAATTGGACATCAACGGGCCAAATTTACCGTAATTACAAACATTAATTTCAACAGATTTACTTGAAGTATAGCTTAGTGGGAGATGACCCATTGTTTTGCAGGCCACAGTGATCCCCACCACCAATTTTATTTTTAAACAAAGATGAATGATCTGTCATGGACCAGCAAAGACAGAGCAGATGTAGGGAGCTTGTTTACCCTTCTCTGTCAGAAGGGACAGCTGTTGGAAAGCTCCTACTGCCAGTTACTCAGGGACTACAGAGCTGGGCCATCTTTCTTTGGCTGATGGATGGGCCAGACTGGTCTCCCTTCACAACTGTGTTCTCCTTTAGAGGCAAAGGATACAAACTTCTAGGAGCCCTTGACATCCTGGCTCATTGCAGTGACCAGAGTGTGCTTTCTTTCTATTCAGCAGTCAGAATTTACATGATGTTGTAAAATAGTCAAAGCTAAGGGTGTAAAGAGGCCTCTCTTATTCCACCTTGTATTTGTTGCATGCAGCTCTGTTTCCATTCCACTGCATCTACTGCCCAAAGCTACTTTATGGTGAAATTACATAACTTACATAATTAATTTACATATTCCATTCCATTCCATTATTCCATTCCACTATTACACCCCACTCATTTCAGTGCAAAGGAATCAGAATGCAATGCAATGCAAATAGGGGAAAACATAATCAATTATGCATCATTTGTAGGCTGAAAGAAACAACAGCAACAAATGCTGATTGTATTAATGGATCGATTTCCATTCTGGACATGGGAAGACTAAGCAAACATTGTCAATTTCTGTTCACATTTCTGCTTTTCTCAGAATTCTCCCAACATCCCTTGTCAAAGCGCTTCATTGGTAATTGGTGGCCTTGTAGTTAGTCATTAATAATATTATTGTTTTCAACTAATTATTCCATGTTTTTAAGGCTACTTAATTGTGATGTCGGTGGCATTCATCACCTTAGGCATGTTTTCTCTCAAAAGGCAGCATGGGTAGAATACAGCCGAATTAAATACTTTTTATTTAAGTCACCATTTCAATGCCAAGAATTCTCCCACTGGAATCAACACAAGAAGAGCTCTACTGAATCAGACCAGTAGCCCATATAGACCAGCATCCTGTTTTCACAGTGCCCAACCAGATAGCTATGAGAAGCCTGCCGGAACACTTAACACAAATGCATATTTTCCTCTTCAGAGTTAAGCGAAGAGAAGAGAAGAGAAAGCTACATGACTTTGCATCAAAAGCCCGCTGTGAGAATTGCTGATTGGACAGCACTTGTGATGTCGTCCTTTCTCCAATCCCTCCCTCTGATCTTTAGGGCTGCCTTGCTTTTTTCACGTGGCAGTGTTGGGTTTGGTTTTTAGCCTTCTTGCCTTTTCGCCCTATACACTACAGGCTCAGTCTTCACCTCCTTCATAACAGGGAACCTATGGAAAGCACTTAAGCATGTTCTGAGCACAACAACACTCTCATCTCCTGCAGTTTCCAGCAACTGACATTCAGAAGCATATCAAGGGCACTTAAGAACTCTTAACATTGAATGGATTGTGCCCTGTGTATGGCTTATCAATTAATTAACAAAATCTGAAAATAATCGTAAAATGGCGGGCTTTGATTGTCAAGCTTCTTAACATTTGCTTTCTTTTTCTTTTCTTTTTCAAGGGAGAGGCTCTTGAAAAATGGCATTTCTTCCTAATCCCATCTTTTGAAATCAGGGGATCTTTCATACAGCCCCAGGGTGTGTTGCTTTTAAACATACCCCCATCTTTTAAGAATGCCTTGTTTTCATCAGGTACTTGACTGGAGTTTTGTTACTAATTCTAGACTTATAGTAGCTAAAGCCAATATAATACTTTCCCGAAATATTACTCAGAACTGCTTAGGCTAGTATTTCCAAAAGCCCAGAATACTTTAAGGAGCTCAGGATACAATCTCAAATGGCCAGGAGCCACATACCACAATGTCTGACAAGAATACTTTCCCAAGCTCTGTATTTTAAATATCTACTCTTGCATCAATATGTTTTATTTTTTCAATAAAAAATAGAGCAGCATTGTGGAATTAAAATAACACTTGCCTTGCCTTTTCTTCTATGCCAATGTTTCCCAGAGTGGGTGATACCACCCCCTGGAGGACGCTGGGGCAATCCGGGGGGACAGCAGTTGCCTTGGGTGCAATTGGGGGGCATTGAATATAAATAAGGGGGCGGTGGAAGCATAAAGAAGAGGATAAAAAATTGAAAAACCGTTCATACATGTTACATCTGTTCTGTAATGATGCTTACTGCCAGACTGGGCGCTGCTGTGGGACAGCAACAACGCCTCCCCTGGACCCAGCGGTCGGGCTGGAGGCAAGGGGTTTCAGCTCCACCTAGGCCCAGGAAGTGGATTGCAGCTTGTCTGCCAATTTGGCCATTGGCAGGCGGGCTGCGGCGCTGGTCCTGCCCTACCCCTGGGGAGGGGGGTTTGGACTGAGCCGACAGGCTTCATTCTGGTCTACCCCGTGGGTTTTTAATCCTGGAGCCTAGTCCACCTTCTCATCCAGTTTTGAAAAACCATTTGTACATGTTTCATCTGTTGTGTAATGACGCTTACTGATGTAACATAGAGTTAAAGTCAAAGTGATCAGTGTTTTGCTTCTAGAAAAAAAGGTGGCAGTACTCACCATGAAGTTGTTATGGTAAGTGCCACACTTTTTTTACCAGTACAGTCATACCTCGGGATGAATACGCTTCGGCTTAAGCATTTTCGGGTTGCGCTCCGCAGCGACCCGGAAGAAACAGAGCGCGTTTTGCCGGGTTTTGCTGCGCGTGCATGCGCAAACCGTCAAAACGACGTCACGCGCATGCGCAGAAGCGCCGAAACGTGACCCGCGCAGATGCGCGGACACGGTTATGTTCGCTTTGGGATGCAAACGGGGCTCTGGAAAGGATCCCGTTTGCATCCCGAGGTACCACTGTAAAGGTAAAGGTAAACGGACCCCTGACCATTAGGTCCAGTCATAGCCGACTCTGGGGTTGCGGCGCTCATCTCGCTTTATTGGCCGAGGGAGCCAGCGTTACAGCTTCCGGGTCATGTGGCCAGCATGATTAAGCCGCTTCTGGAGAACCAGAACAGCGCACGGAAATGCCGTTTACCTTCCCGCCGGAGCGGTACCTATTTATCTATTTGCACTTTGACGTGCTTTCGAACTGCTAGGTTGGCAGGAACAGGGACCAAGCAATTGGAGCTCACCCCGTTGCGGGGATTCGAACCGCCGACCTTCTGATCGGCAAGTCCTAGGACTTACTTTATTTTCCAAAAACACACAAAATGCAAGTTATAACTGATCAATGGTCAAGTCAGTTGACAGAAGGTAGATTTCCAGGAGGGCACGGAGTGATTTTTCTCTGAAAAGGAGGCGGTAGGCCAAATAAGTTTGGGAACCGCTGCTCTGTGGCATGTGTAACCAATGTGGTGCCCTCCGTATATTGTTAGACTACAACTCCAATCATTCCCAGCCGGCATGGCCAATGGTCAGGGATGATGGGAGTTGGAGTCTAGCAATATTTGTTGGGCACCTGCTCTGAGTAAATCTTTTGTACACAGAGAAGGAAGAGTTTTCAAGATGCCTAATGGCAAAAAGATACCAAAAATAAAAATCAAATTTGTGAATAATCAGTAACAGGAGAAGTGAGTTCAGGAGAACACAGTGAACTCTCTACCAGGGAGAAACCAGGCACATTACCCCTTAGGCCATCATGGTGGGTTGCCAGGGAAAGGAGTTGCTGATTGGCTCTCCGTTGCATTGAAGAACCAGCACTACAGGTGGTCAGAGGGTGGTTCTGCAGTTATCAAAGCAAAGTTCAGGGGACACAGGGAGGCCAATGGAGTATTATTTGGTCCTATAAAGCTGTTTACTCTGGCCTGGTTCCCCATTCTGTGTACAGTGGTACCTCACGTTAAGAACTTAATTTGTTCCGGAGGTACGTTCTTAACCTGAAACTGTTCTTAACCTGAGGTACCACTTTAGCTAATGGGGTCTCCCGCTGCCGTTGTGAGATTTCTGTTTTCATCCTGAAGCAAAGTTCTTAACCTGAGGTACTATTTCTGGGTTAGCGGAGTCTACAACCTGAGGCATCTGTAACCCGAAGCGTTTGTAACCTGAGGTACCACTGTAATTTATTACTTGAGTGCAGATGGAATGGCTTTTTGGTGACACATATCAGCTTGATTCCTTGTTTGCATCCAGACTGCAAAACATTTTAAAACATCGTTGTGACACTTGTCTCCCACCATTCCCTTGAGGAGTTCATGGCATCCATGAGTTTATTTTACTTTGTCTTCACAACAAAAGAGAGTTGACCAAGAGACAGTGACAGGCCCAGGGCACTCTTCAAAACTGTGTCAAGATTTCAGTGTAAGCCTTATAAGAATATAAGAAGATCCCGCTGGATCAGGCTAGTGGCCCATCTCGTCCAGCAACCTCTTTTCACAGTGGCCACCTGGATGCCTGTGGGAAACCTGTGAGCAGGACTGGAGGACAAGTGCTCTCTCCCCTCCTGTGGCTTCCAACAACTGGTATTCAGGAACTTTACTGCAGAGCGTAGCAATCATGGCTAGAAGCCATTGACAGCCCTCTCCACGAATTTGTCAATTTTTTTAAAGCCACCCCTTGACTAAGAAAAGCCACCCACACTATTCCTACACTACACTAGCTCACTGATTAAAGTTGGTTCAGACACACAACTCTGCTTTTGCAGGAAATATGGCTGTGCTTGGGCCTTAATATGTCTTTTACTTATTATGGGCTGAGCTTACAAAACACACAAGCTCCATAAAAATTACAAACGAGCTGCAAACCTCATTTTTCCTTCTGTGTGCCCTGTGTTTGCCCTTTATGCACCCACTTTCCCCCTGCCCCCGCTTGTGCAATCATCTTCCCAAATATGTCACCCCAGTCTGTCTTCAAATTACCCTTTTTATTGAAATCGATAAAATAAAATAAAAAGTGTAGGGAGGGGAATGCAACACTAAAACATTATGGTGGCAGCTTTGTTATAAACTCATTAATGGAGGAACGGCCAACTAGATAGACCTTTAACCACCCTGTCATTGATTCCAGTGCAAGGAGAATGATTAAGTGTGATAATCAGTGGACAGTTGCTGCATTTGTGCGCTGGAAAGGGTTACTTCTGGCTGGGGTCCTGCCAGTGTACCTATCACCAATTGTTTGAAATATAAGGCACAAATGATTATCACCTAGATTTCTTTTATTTTACTTTTAAGGAAAGGGTTGATGTGCTTAGTTATTTCATAGAAGCCAATGTTCAGTTTGCACAGATCAGCACAAAGAGTAAAGCTCTTCCTGAATTTCTGTACTTCAGGGGTTGGGTGATTCATGAACCGGAGGAAATGGAGGAGGAGCAAGCAGCCTTCTTCATACTGGTACCCTCCTGATTGTCTTGGCCACATTAGCCCTGGCCAGCACAGAGAGAGCAGTTTGCAGGCTCAATGTACCTTCCAGCACATCACTTTTAAGTAATCTCTCTCTTAAATGTTTCCTTTCTTTGGAGGGAATGCGGAGCTCTTCAACCCATTATTGACAGTTGTCTCTGAACTAGTCTTGAACTAGAATTACTAATACTAAATGGCCTCGTTCCAGTAAACCTGAAGGAGCGTCTCTACCCACATCGTTCAGCCCGGACACTGAGGTCCAGCGCCGAGGGCCTTCTGGCGGTTCCCTTGCTGTGAGAAGCCAAGTTACAGGGAACCAGGCAGAGAGCTTTCTTGGTAGTGGCGCCCGCACTGTGGAATATCCTCCCATCAGATGTCAAGGAAATAAAGAACTATCTAACTTTTAGAAGACATCTGAAGGCAGCCCCGTTTAGGAAAGCTTTTAATGTTTGACGGACTATTGTATTTTAATGTTTTGTTGGAGGCCGCCCAGAGTGGCTGGGGAGGCCCAGCCAGATGGGTGGGTTTAAATTATTATTATTATTATTAATTATTATTATTATTAATTATTATTATTACTACTACAGTAAATCATTAGGTGTCTCTTTCTCAATCACTGAACTCTGAAACAAGAAAACAAGAGAGTAACAAGTGGGACTGACAACAAATGTTTTGCATAGTTGCAAAATGGGGTAAGGTAAAGGGGCCCCTGACCATTAGGTCCAGTCGTGACCGACTCTGGGGTTGCAGTGCTCATATCGCTTTATTGGCTGAGGGAGCCGGCATACAGCTTCCAGGTCATGTGGCCAGCATGACTAAGCCGCTTCTGGCGAACCAGAACAGCGCACAGAAACGCCGTTTACCTTCCCGCCGGAGGGAAGGTATCTACTTGCACTTTGACGTGCTTTCGAATTGCTAGGTTGGCAGGAGCAGGGACCAAGCAACGGGAGCTCACCCTGTCGCGGGGATTCGAACCGCTGACCTTCTGATCAGCAAGTCCTAGGCTCTGTGGTTTAACCCACAGCGCCACCTGCGTCCCTGCAAAATGGGGTAGTCCTCTCTAATAATAATAATAGTAATAGTAATTATTATTATTATTTATTTATACCTCACCCATCTGGTTGGGTTTCCTAGGCCATTCTGGGCGGCTCCCAACAGAATTAATGTTAATAATAATAATAAAGCGATAAAACATCAGACATTAAAAACTCTCCAGTGTTCTAGCCAGCCATGCTTTTTTCCCCCCTAGAACACTCCATTGCATACCCTCTGGTTTTCAGAGCCCACCCCCTCACGTACTGCATTTCATAGTCTGCAAAGAGGGGAAATGGGGGGGGGTCCTTCCCTCTGCATAGAAAAGTAGCACATCATGAAGAAGCATTCAAACTCAGTTTTCTATGTGCAGGGAATACAGGCTTTTGAGTTACAATATTTATCTTCCCAAGTGGAGCATTCAGACAGGAACTCTCTTATCACTTGCCTCTACCAGGTTCATATTTTAAATAAATAAATAAATGATAGAGATAGATAGGTGATAGATTGATAGATAGATAGATAGATAGATAGATAGACAGATTAGATAGATGATAGATAGATAGATAGATAGATAGATAGATGATAGATAGATAGATAGATAGATAGATAGATAGATGATAGATAGATAGATGATAGATAGATAGATGATAGATAGATAGATAGATAGATAGATGATAGATAGATGATAGATAGATGATAGATAGATAGATAGATAGATAGATAGATAGATAGATAGATAGATAGATATAGATAGATAAATAGATAGATAGATGATAGATAGATAGATAGAGATATAGATAGATAGATAGATAGATAGATAGATAGATGATAGATATAGATAGATAGATGATAGATAGATAGATAGATAGATGATAGATAGATAGATGATAGATAGATGATAGATAGATAGATAGATAATAGAGATAGATATAGATAGATGATAGATAGATAAATTTAGTTTTAGTGACTTTTGTTTTTCAAGAAAGCTTCCAGCTCTTTTTATGGAGTGGTAGGGGAGAGTATGTATGTAGTGTTTAGTCCGCTGGGACAGAATATGTTCTTGTAAACAAGTGCCTAGTTGCACTTTGATGAGTAGGTAAGAAGAAGAAATTTGTTTCAGCTCGCTTTGAAAAGAGAGCCTATCTGATTTGTACTTTCTGAAACAACAGATGAACCAAAACACAGCCATCCTTTAAAATGTGCACTTCTCCGAGTTTTGCAAAGCAGCTCTCCAGCCAAGAATTGTGTACCCTAGTAGGGTAGAATTTGAACTAAAATGCATATATTGTGATTATCTTTGTCTTTAATTTGACTTGCGTTCTCTTGCCTTCATGTGCTTTCAAAGCATTTTCACATAGCCATTCTTGGTGGCTATGTGACACTGCAATGCCATACTCAATTCACAGCATCATCCCTGATTGGCTACTACCACAAATGTGATTAATCTATAAAGCATTGCACCCACTCCCAGCTGCCCTAATTTGACCTCCATGTTTGTGTCTGAGGTCATAATGTAGGCAAATCTGAATGGATATGTGCTACTGTGGTGCCATATCATCATGTGATTCCTAATTGGATGGGATCATCCATGAGATCATCCACTCACTAATCCTGGAAGGAAAAATAGGGAGTGCCAAAAGTAATGGTACCAAACAGTAACTCAGAGGAAACAGTAACTCAGTTTTCACTGTGGCTGCCCCTGTTCTGTGGAATAGAATTCCTGTTGAGATACACCCATTTTTTGCGCTTTTGGGAAACAACTGAAAATATTTTTGTTCCAACAGCAGGGTAAACGAATCTTTCCCATGTTTTTGTTTCATTTTAATTTTGTTTTAAATGTACAGTGGTACCTCGGGATGCGAACGGAATCCATTCTGGAGCCCCGTTCGCATCCAGAAGCAAACGTAACTAGCGACAGCACGTCTGCACACACGCGCGTCGCTTTTCACCGCTTCTGCACAGGCGCGTGACATCATTTTGAGCGTCTGCGCGAGCGGCGAAACCCTGAAGTAACGTGCTCCGTTACTTCCGGGTTGCCGCTGAGCGCAACTCGAACGTGCTCAACATGAAGCATATTCAACCTGAGGTATGACTGTATTGGCTGTTTTTATCTGTTCTTGCTGTTTTATTGTACAGTCATACTTCGGGTTAAATGTGCTTCAGGATGAATATTTTTGGGTTGCGCTCCACAGCGACCCGGAAGTAATGGAGCGCATTACTTCCAGGTTTCACTGCTCACGCACACGCAGATGCTCAAAATGATGTCACGCACATGCGCGGAAGTGGCGAATCGCGACCCACACACACGCAGACGTGGGTTAAGTTCGCTTCAGGATGTGAACGGGGCTCCGGAACAGATCCTGTTTGCATCCAGAGGTACCATTGTATATTGCCATGAGACAATTATGCAGAAGGCAATTAATAAAAGAAGTTTTTCTGGAGACACTCATCTGCTGTCTTTACCTGCAGCTCCCAGGGTGGATCTACACATGGGGGGGGGGG